CTTAAGCAACGGTAGTCGGCTTATGGACTCAGGAATGTTAGCTCTATGCGCTCATAGCGGCAAAACGCGGTACTACGAAAGCTCTGCCCACAAAAAAATTAGTTGGGTTTCTTTTGGGTACCCCATCGTATATGATGCATTTTTCTATAATTACATTTTGTATGCCTACAAGTATTCATGGAAGGAGTTTTCAATATGTAAATTCAGTGCTAAAATGCTCTCTTAGTAGAGGAATACACAGTAATCTGAAAGAGAAAGAAGAGATTTGTTTGTATATAGTGTTGTTGCATTACTTTAAAGTATTTTGTACTTATGTTTTATGAAATTATAAATACGTAAGTTCCTTCATAGATTTTAGACCACTTGTAAGAATTTCCAGAGCATTTGCTGTAATAACTCTACAGTTCTATGAATTTTGTCTTGGTGAATATAGTAAACTTCTGGAATCAGAAATGTTTGAATGTGGATGAGGTATATCATATTGTAACGTGTTTTGACAGTCCATAGTCAGTGTGGGTTCCAAATATAGTTTTTGAAATTAATTTTGTAACTATCACATTTTGTTTCTAGAAGACTAAATGTTGAAATACAACATTTATAATTTTACTTGTTCTGTATGACTGTGAAATTTGATGGAATGATGACATCTGTTTATCCAGTACCTGTTTCATCCCTAAAGAATATTAATGGATATCAGTATAGTTTGTTATTCAAGTGTCTACAGTAAACTTTAAGAGACATTTAAATTTTTGTTAATACCAGCCTAATATTAGTCCTAAAGTAAGTAAGTAAATTTTCCCTATACTAACATGGTTGAGGCACTATGCTACAAGCTGGAAGGTCGCAGGTTCGAATCCTGATGAGGTCATTGAATTTTTCAGTTGACCTAATCCTTCCAGCCACACTATGGTCCTGGGCTTGACTCAGCCTCTAAGAGAAATGAGTACCAGGAAACTTCCTGTGGGGTAAAGAGCGGCCGGCACATAAGGCTGATCACCTCATCGCCATCTGTGAGCCTATTGCCCAGAAAATGTGGGAGCCTCGACGTCTCACAACTCTATGGGCCTTCACGGCCTCTTACAGGGATAGCTTTACCTTACCTTTAATTAGTTAAGAACCATAACAAAGACATTTGGGTTTGGGGGTTTGAGGGTGGAGATGATAGCTTCACCACTCTTGACCTTAGTGCTAGGTGGAGGTGGATGAGCAGCTTTGTATCCTTGATGCTTTACTCATGGGGAATTGGTCTCCATCCAGTACTCATTGTATAGGAATATGGGTGGGCTCCAGGACCAGTCTGGACAATATGGAGAAGGGAAAACAATATTGAACCGTGATTTCTTAGTTTTCTGGTCCACAACCTAGTTGCTGTATAGACTGAGCTATCCTGGCTGTTCTGTCTAAAAGAGCTTGTACTGAAAACTGGCCCATGACTTGAAATTTGGATGTCATTAAGCTCATATTTAATGTGCAAATGTCACCAAAATAACTTGTTTTTATTCAGAATAGATTTATTATGGTGAATACTTAATGAAACATTAGGAAAAATAATTTCTGTATGAAGTGAGATATTTGTGGTATCATTAATCTTGCAGCAGTGGGTTTATTTCTACAGTATATTAATAGAGCTAGTGAGGCTCATGTTATGATGTAATGAACTTTCAACTTTGATGAAAAAGAGAATTTCTGGAATAAATAAATACATATCTGCTCGTCAAAGAAGACCCAGTGACATGGCAATAGGTATATTTAACTTTAACTTTTCTTTTCTGTGCAGGATTGGCAGATACAGATGCAAAATGAATGGGAAAAGCTATATGAAGAGCAAAAATCTGCATACATGGCACGATCTAGAAAATTATTTGAAGAATATAAACGTGAAATCCAAATTTGGGAAGAAAAAATGATTCGACTCGGACACATTGATGTAGTCCGCAATGAAGCCTTGATTCAGCCTAAGAGACAGGGTACCAGTGTATCTCAGAGATCTAGAGGAAGTGAAGAATAGGAATTGAAGTGTCCTGGTCCAGACACTCTGTCTTCATGCTCAACTGTAGATGGAGATTTGCTAAGAGATGGAGCTGGTGTACCATCCCAAGAGACTGGAAAGCTTGCGGGTCAGGACACAGATGCTACAGAGTTGAGTGTTTTCAAAGAGAACCAAGCCACAAAGCTTAGAGTGAGCAGTTGTGACGTAGTAGATACAGAAAATGTTGAAGGGATTAGAAGTAATGTCAAGGAGAAGTGTAGAAGTAACATATTGGATGCTATTGATAAAAGTAAGACAGTTAAAAATAAACTGTCTGAAGAGTGGAAAAATATTAAAAGTAAGTTCCCAGATGGTTATCAGTGGCATGTTGTGATCTTATCTGGAGTAGTTATATGTACTGTCTTCTGCCTCAGATTCATTCTGTAATTTGCATTTTTATACTATGTATAGCAGACAGGATCTAAATATAGAATAGTAAGTGAGAGTAATGTACGTATGGTATCATAAGTAATGTTTTTGATAGTGGTTTGTAACAGCATGGACATTTTTAATACTAATTTTGAAAGTTTTAAGTTCTTGTTTAATATGAATACTTGTAAAAAAACAGGTAATTTTATTTTTCCATTACATGTCTGTGCCCTGATGTATCCTGAAACAGTTCCATAGCTTGCAGACTGATAATGCTTCTGTGCAGGTATGACAGTCTTGAATAGGGCTCAGTGTGGAAATTCATATTACTGTATGAAGATATACTGTCTCACACATGATATTGTTGAGATAGAACACCTAAAGCTATATTAATCAAACATTTCTTGCTGTTTTTTTATTTCAAATTGGGTCAAAATAGTTTTAATATTTTATAGCCAGAGTCCACAGTGTGAAACCATGTAATGATAAGAATAGTAAACTACATTCTTCTTTCTTCTGGTAATATACAATAGTACATCATATTGGAATTTCTTTACATAAAATGCAAAAATGAAGAAAATGTAATACCTTTCCCAAAACTTATCTAAAAGATAATTTTCAAATTTCTGTTGCTCTCTTTTGTAATAAGAGTATATTGTTTTTTTATATTTAAAATGTGTCTTTTTTTTACAAATTTTAAATACATTCACCTTGTCACATCTGAGTACCAGCACTTCCCCCCACCCCGCAAGAAGTAAGTACTGGTTTAAATCGTGAATGAGATATCTTGTATGTATTTCTACAATTCAAGACAAGCTAATGTAAAACATTTCTCTTGTATGTGTTTAGACTTGCTGTATTCTCTCATCTCCCTTCTCGTTTATCTTTCTATGTAGTTCATATTGTGGTTTGTTGGTTTATGACACGGTTTAGTCTGGTAGGTACTCCCACTGCCATGAATACCTTAAATATTATATATCTAAACCTCATTGTCCCCAATAATTAATACTGCTGATATGAGTGAAAATGTTAATAGCAATGATTTATGGTTCATAGCATAAATGACTGCCCACTGTTATTATTGTTAAACTAGTTTCAAAATGTTAAGAATATTTAATTGACAAATCTAATTATTTTTGCATGTGACAAAGATGTTTTCTAACCACTGCTCACCTAACATTGACCCACTGTATAAGTTTTCTGTATTCAAAGTTTGTTGTGAAGAGAGGCATGTCATTTAGTGAGCACGTTTTATGGTCTCATCAGTCAAACTGAAACCCTGACACCAAGCAGGTTGGTACAGTGGTAATGCTTTGGTCTTTTATTCACAGAATACTTGCCTCAGATGTTGGCCAGGACATAGGCCATCTTGAATGAGGTTGTTTGTTGTTTTAATATCAACCATTCTACCATACGAGGCCAAATAGATTTGTGCTATTGACAGCATCATGAAATGACTCCCTTTACCCTGATTAAAGTCCAGTGACTAATTACCATAGGAAAGCCTGATAACAGTATGCCTTTGTTTGAGAAGGAGTTATGAAATGTAGATCTTTGCTAAGACAGGTATTCTTAGTTCCCTTGAACTATTTCATATGAGCATTATTGATGCTAAATGTACAGAAATGTTGAACATAAACAGTGTTTCATTTCAAATTAAGCATAAAATTTTGTGTTCATGTTTGTGTTTTGAAGTGCAAATATTTCTTTCTGAATAAACTCATAATATCAAGTACACATATAAAGTGAATGCATTAACAGGTACAGTTTCTCATGCTTTCATTGTATATACTGATATGTAGGTTGAGTGATACTATACCAGCAAAAAACACTGCATTCTACAGAATTTAATGTAGTGACAGGTGACATATCACTCCTTTCACATGGCTTAAGACCATGTGAAATATTGGTAACACTTATCTTCTGACATGTTGGTCCGACAGTTAAGTTCGCGAACACATCACGGTAAAAACGCTGCATACATCATTGCTGAATATCACTGTGGTCGCCTTCAAAGTACTCCCCTTGGGAAGCTATACACAAATGCCAGTGCCTAGTCCACCCTTTAAAACAATATTGAAACTGGTTTTATGGAAATGCCTTCCTTTATCTTCAGGAACAGAAAAAAATCATTGGGGGCTAGATCCGGTGAATAGGGAGGGTGTTCCAGCACAGTTATTTGTTTACTAGCTAAGAACTCCCTCACAGACAGTGCCGTGCGAGCAGGTGCATTGTTGGGATGCAAGATCCACGAGTTGCTGGCAAAAAGTTCAGTCGTTTCCGTCTAACTTTTTCACATAGCCTTTTCAGTACTTCCAAATAGTAAACTTGGATGACTGTCCAGTTGGTACAAACTGATAGTGGACAATCCCTCTAATATCAAAACAAGTTAGCAACATTAGTTTTGAATCTTGATTTGGACTGACGGGACTTTTTTGGTCATGGAGAATTGGCAGTCTTGCCTGTCCAAAAGTTCTTGGAAAATTTTGACTCTTCTTTGCTTTTGATCTATGGTGAGCTTCTTTGGGACCATTTTTGCACACACCTTCCTCATGTCAAGATCTTCAGTTGACATTTTCCTAACTGCTTCTCTGTCAATGTTCATTTGCTCTGCTATGCCCCTGGCAGTCAGCTGACGATTTTCACTCACAATTTGACAAACTTTTGCAATGTTTTCTTAAGTTCTGTTTGTTGCTGGCCATCCTGATTTCATCAGTGACACTTTCTCTTCCCTCAGAAAAACGTGCCACCCGTTTGTAAACTGCTGTTTTCTTCATAGCATTATTCCTGTAAATTTGCACTAACATTTCTCTGATTTTGCTTCCACTCTTGCCAAGTTTAACAAGAAAATTAACGTTCGTTTGTTCGTTCGTTGCTCTGAGTCAAGCTCTGACATTCTTGCAACAGCTCACCAAAACAATAATAAATGTCACTCAGAAAGAGACTGCCATAAGATCAACAACACAGCTGTGAAACGCTGATATGCCAATGTCATCAAACCATACTGAGGTTTCTGTCCACTGCTGCCATGGCAAGCTCACAGTGGCAAGTTCACGAACTTTGTCAGACTTTATATTTTTGTAACTTTCTTATGCTTTAAATAAAGCAAGACTTGAATGTGCAGTTTCTAACTTGACCTCGTACATTCACTCATTTGGATCTAACCTCTCAGAAGTATAGACTATTAGTGCTTTTTTTCTACAAAGGTGCTGATACTAAGATAAAACGAAGGGATGGAAAAGAAGGTGTCAAGACTTTACATCTTTTTTTAATATCAGACTAAACATATTCTGGATACGAAATGGAACACAGAAATCCATGTAATAAAATAACGTATTCTTGCACATTAATAAAACATGTTTATTTGCTTATTTTTGTCTGTCGTGCCAGTATGGTGTTCTAGTGTGTACTGCCAGAAGAACAGCTCTGCACATTATCATCAGTGGTCTTGTGAAAAAAAAAAAAAAAACTTGAAATAGCTTCTCCACAAAAAGAAAATATCCCCCAAAATTCTAGCCAGGATGAAGAAATGATTTCATTTTCTTCTGGATTTTTCCATATTTACTATAACATAGTATACTTCCACAATTGGCATAAAATATACCAATAAAATGAAACCAGCACCTATTCCTTTCAGTAATGACCATTAGCTTACATGATTAAAACTCCTGACACCATATGGCCAATTGTAGTATCACAACAATTCCATGATAAAGTTAAAAATTATAAAGATATACTGTACAAGTACAACTATTTATGATATATCTTGCTGAGAAAGAAAAATAAAAAATACAACAAAGACATGATGCTTATTTTAAAGTTGAATGTTGCAAGTCTGAATATCTACAAAATGTGTCACAATATTACAATATAAAAGAGCTGAAATTATTCAGTACAGTGACTGGCTGTGGGCTATATGATGGGTTTTATTTCCACATGGACAGGGAATTCTTTTCACCACCAGATCAATACAGGTTCTGGGGCTTACACGGCCCTCTATCCATGTATCAGGAGGTCCTTCCCTGGAGCATGAAGTTGAACAATGACCTCTGACTTTGATAAAGGTCTAAAATGACTGGAGCATTACCTTCATGACTCACATGCACCTTTATAATGTGTTGCTTAAGTACAGGGGCAAGGCTTATGGCAATAAGAATGGCAGTAACTTGTAACAAAACTAAACTGGAACCAATTAGAAAATCTGAAAAACTGACTTATGGTTATGGACTACTTAGGGTGCATGATTATAGACAAATGCCATTACAAACAAAACAAAATCCGTGGCTTTAGTCCGCAAGTGAACTATACTGGCCAAGCGACCTGCGCTTGTAGGCGAAGTTAGTGCCACCTTTTAGCGGATAGAGGGAGTTGTGTGGTCAGCACAACAAATCCCTATGGCTGCTAATTTCGGTTTTCTAGACCGAAGCCACTCTTTTCCATTCAAGTAGCTCCTCAATTATCCTCACGAAGCTGAGTCGACCCTGTTTCAGACCCACTACTTCTCAGAAAATCTGGTAGCGCCAGGCATCGAACCTGTGACCTCTGGATCTGTAGCCAGTAACTCTGACCAGTAGACCACAGAGGCGATGCAAGTGCCATTTCTAATGGCAACTAACGAAAGTGACAAGTTAGGTATTCTCACTCAAGGAAAGATTATCTGAAAGCCATTTTCCTTACAGCAGCTGAATGCTGGAGTCACTTACATAGCTATAAGCAATTTCAATGCATTCATAAAGATGAAGATCCCCCTCTGCATAAGGTTCGTTTTGTGAAGCCAGTAGGGGCAGATGAGGTAGCATTCCACACATTATAGATACCAGCACTCGATAAGCTTCATGCTCCAGCCACTTTATCCTCAGAGAAAGGACGCTGCTACCCACTGGACAGGAGGGTGAGTAAGCCACAGAGCCATTCTGGAGAAAGACAATTTCTTCCCCCTGCTGTGAGTCTAACACCAATCATCCAGCCAGTAGCCAGTCACTTTACATACTATGCTATTCCAGCTCATGCACATAGCATTTAAAATATCTGAATGGTTACATGGAAAAAAATGTGAAATTTAGATATGATCAAAATATAGGTGTTGAATATTCACCATAGTTTAAAAATCAAGTCAAATGACTTTTGTAAAACATAGCTGAAGCAAGTCAAGTCTGTTCCAGAAATTCTGGAATGTTTCGTTACCTTGGCATAACTGTCTGGTCTAATCAATGTTTTAATCATACATTATTTTGTAGGATTTAAGGTTCTTAAAGTGGCGGTTATGAAGAATCCTGTCTTCTGGGATGTAATGCTTTATAGTCCACTGAGAGTCAACCAGTGTTCTGGAGGAACAAGTTGCCTCCATCTTAAATGCTGAAGAATATGCCAAGCAAGGATCCAGCATGAAGCACGTAGCAAGCAGGCCCTGTTTGCTACTGAGGTCACATGTTCCTCTAAAATGTCAGTTGAGTTTCAGTGGACCACATGACATTATATCCCAGAAGATAGGGCTCTTCATATTTTCCTTCAACCATAATCAATTAAGGCACACATCATTTTTCAAACATTAAAATAAAACACTTATATACATTTGATTTGTTTCATTCTGGTCTGCCACACTAACAAATTACAAAGACAAAACAACTCCGTCCAATGTGACTACTGAAGTTTTTACTACTTGAAAACTTAACAAGTAGTAAAAACTTTAATAGTCACACTGGACAGAGTTGTTTTGTCTTTGCACTTATATACAGTTCATAGCATTCTAAACTTCTATATGCTTGTCTTTCCAGCAGCATCTTTCCTCAAGTATTAACAACTTACAAAGAGTTAAATCACGAAATTGTCATTGGGAGGCCTGCAGTCTCAATTTCTGTATGAATTACAGTGCTATATTATGCTTGTGGCTTTTATGTGATTATGTAATTGAGAAACAGGGACCAGTTCTGTCACTCTCATTTAAATTTTGCAGTAACATGTAATATTTTTTAAAGAACATGAACAACTGAAGGAACTGATCTTATTTCTGAATTTTGAGTCCAAATTTTCTGCTTTAAGTTAATTCAAAAGTCAGTATTTAGATGTGACAGAAATGCTGCCTTAGCCTCCATAACGTAACTATAAAATCCTAATACCTAACCGGATAGCATTATCCACAAGTATTCTGTCCCCATATTATGTGTTAAATTATCCCACCTTATATAGTTTATACTTAAAGTATCTTTATACTCCATGTGTTAGCTAATTATAGAGTACCCTGTTCAACTTTTTCTAGCATCTGAACATAGTCAAAATTAAGAATCCACTGGATATGTCTGTCCGTTCATTAACTTGGTGGGTTCTGAGAAGGTACAGTTCATAATGCTTTGTTGTTCCAGGTGTATACATCATTTTGGATGCTGTGATCATACAACCCTGGATTTATTTTTGGGAAATAACAGAGGAACTGTTAATGTGAATCTGTAATACAACTTCCTATTTGTTAATTTGATATCTTTACTTCCAGAAAATAAAATTTTATTATTTTTTAACCTTATTCCTTGATTGATTTACATTGAGTATCCTGATAAGCAACATACACATTTGAAGAAAAGATTAGCCATTTTGTTATAGTTCAAGAGCTGAACTCTTTTACATCATCAATATCACTGAACAACAAAAGTTACTTTATATGCCTATTTGTATATATACTTCATTACATAGTCATCAGCCTTGCAATTAATATGAATCCATAACAGCAAGTGTAACAATTGTCTAAGCATACATCAGCATGGGTAGCAGATAAATAATTTCATAAAAATGTGTTTTTACTTCTGCCAACATACCAATATGTCTGTTGCTTTTCAAGGTATCTAGTAGCATACAGAACTGAAAATTTGTCTTTCAATAGATAAATCTTATAAAAAGGAGTAGAAAAATTTAAGTATCATGATCACAAAAAAGAATATTCCTGAAAAAGGTTCACAAACATACACACATTAGAAACAGATTAAAAAGCTCTATGTGAATGGGAATGCATGAAATTGCCTTCCAACCAAAAGACCCTCACAATTCAAGAATATTTACTTGCCACTCTAATATTGCATGGAATGTAACAAATGTAAAGAAATATATACAAGTATCTTGCACAACTTTCGTTAACATATGGATACAGTCTGATATCAGCACAACTTTCTGTGATGAAAGGCCACTAAGTAGAAGAACTGCACTAAGCAGGCCCGGTGGTGATGTCATTTGTTGTTTCTTAAACTGTAGCCACAGAAGGTCAGTCACTTCCACCACACACAAAGGTGCCACCAAAGACTGTAACAAGCAGACTGCTATATTAAAGGAGGAAGTTTGGGATAGGAAAAGTGCAAACTGTAGGCCTTTCTTATACCATTCAAGTAATGCTCATCTGCGATTTGTTTTAGGTGGTTATGGTATGTTAACATTACTGGACTATATTGCTTTAGATCCCAGAAGATAATGTTAGATTATCTTAATTTTATATATGTTCTCTCATGCCTAGTTACACTGGTCTTGACAAAAAATGAAAGCAGGCAGTCATTCACTGTTTACTATCCTTTTGGAGTATATAGTCCTAAGTCGCAGATGCACCTTATTAGGAACTTACATACATTCATTTCTTTCTCCTGCATTAATCAGTGTACATCATTGGTCATTGTTTCACCTTTAACATACTTCCATTCTTTAAAAAATGTAAAAAGAAATGGCTTGACATCACAATGCTGTGATCTCATAAGCCTCAACTTTTAAACTACCACACCGATTTTCACAAAACATGCTATGAACATTATATTACTGGAATGCACCACAGCTTCATGCCTTTTCATTACCTACAATCAGCAATAACAATCTGGCCAATGCATGAACTTGTGATGTGGGAGCAACATGCATTTCAGGATCATGAAATATGTATGGTAATGGACCTTGGAAACATATACAATTTATGTTAAAGTAATTTTCTGTGGAATGTAAAATAACACCGTGAAAATGCAAATATTTTTCTAGTTTTCAGTTTGATGGTAACAGCTACTGAACCACTAAAGCTATGCATCTGAAATCTGGCATGCAGATGGTAACATATATATTATGTAGTTAGTTATTTAGAGAGGGTGGGTTTCCCCATGCACCGCGACCAGTTTGATCTACTGTGCTTCCGCCTATGATATTCTACCAGTCTCTATACCCTACCGATAAATGGTGCATACCATCAGTCCCGCCGAGCAAGCGAGTTCGGACACTTGCTTAGAGGTGTCTATAATGCTTCCCCCATCTATCAGAGGCTTTCGGACTACTGTTGGGCAGGAAACTTCCTGGAATTTGGCTCAGTGATCCCCTTTGGGGATATGAGGTTCTTTTACGTGCCATAAAGTTATGACACGGGACACACAGCTTAAAGTCCCTCCCGGAGGACTTCTTCCCTGAATTTTTCCGCCCTTAAAAATTCGACGACCTCCGCCGGGTATTTGAACCCGCGTACCACGAGTCATGAGGTGGAAACGTTACCTCTAGACTACGGAGGCCGCTTATATATTATGTAAGAAACACTGTATTCAACAATTACAAATGTAGTGACTATATGAAACTTGTCACTTTTTCATTTGGGAAAACATCAGCATGAAAATGAACGAGGCACTGCATTAACTGTAGTGAAGTGCAGTTTTGCTGAATCAATGACCAATTCATTCTACATACCATAATTTGCAATTCAAAGTAAAATTTACATAACTATATATATTTAATACCACCTGATACAGCCATATCATACTAATAACTATAGCTAATGCTTTCAATTTTATATAAAGAACTTCAACATATGGTTATTTAATATACATCATATAACAGATGGCAAAGCAATGATACAATATAATGAGGACTATATTTTAATTAAAATGCCTTTGCTATAACTGTATCAAACTGTATAATAAACAAGACAATTATAATAGAACCATGTCATCCTCAGGTTGCAGATGGAGGAAATAGCCTCCAGATATGGAGGGTAGCTGTGAGTATACTGAGGAAGCAGTTGTGGATGGCCAACAAGGGGTGGTCATCAAGCTTGAGGGTTGGGCATGGGGCTACAACTCCTCACCATAAAAATAAGCTTGTTACAAAATGTCACAAAGGGCCTGACTTCGATGGATTTTTTTGATAAATGACTTAAGCTAAAGAATGGACACGTGATTTGGTTTATGGGATGCAAGACATCTGTTTAGGGAAGGTTCACTCATGATGTGAAGGAGAACTTCTAAGAGGAACTGGAACGTGTATTTGATAAATTACCTAAATGCCATACAAAAATTCTGTTAGGATATTTCAATTCCAAATGAGCTAGGGAAGACATTTTCAAACATACACTTGGAAATGGAAGTATATACTAAATTACTAATGATAATGCAGTTAGAGTGCCAGTCACGGTAGCTGAGCAGTCTAAGGCATGCACTATGTTCGCTTGCTTGGAAGCCGGGATCATGGGTTCGAATCCCACTCAGGGTATGGATGTTTGTGTGCGTTTCTCTGTTTGTGTACAGGTAGAGGCCTTGCGACGAACTGATAACCCGCCCATGGAGTCCTACCGTATGTCTTAAGATCGTAAACCGAAGTGAAACGGAGAGTTTCATGGAGGTAGGCCTAGGCCCAAACGAGGGCTGTAGTGCCAATGAAAAGAAAAAAAAAATGCAGTTAGAGTAGTAAATAAATTTTGCCAAATCCAAAAATCTGTCAAAAGTACAATGTTCCGTCCCCACAACATAACATTCATAAATTTACTTGGTCTTCTCCTGGTGGAAAGAAGCACAACCAAATTGATCAGATCATGATACTGACCACTATCTGGTGGTGGCAAAAGTTGGGGGGAGACTGGCAGTGAGTAAACAAATAACGAACAGAGTTCATATGGAGATGTTCAATATCAAGAAATTAAAAGAGGTAGAGGGTAAAGAGCAGCATCGTGTTGAAATCTGAAATAAGTTCACAGCTTTGGTAAACTTAGACACTTGGGTGAATATTAATAGTGTGTGGAAACTATTAGAGAGAATATAAAAATTTCTGCCAAAGACAGTGTAGGTTATTGTGAAATGAAGCATAAGCCATGGATTGATGAAGGATGCTTAAAATTATTAGACCGAAGGAAACAAGCTAATTGCAGTGGTCACAGGATCTAAGAGAAATGAATGGGAATAATCTGAACAAAAGACATGAAACCAGAAGGCATCTCAAGAATAAAAAGAGGGAATATCTGAAAGACAAAACTGATGAGCTTGCATTGAACAGTAAGAACAAGAATATTAGAGACCTGTATAGAGGAATAAATGACTTTAAGAGGGGTCACAAAACTAGAAGTAACTTAGTAAAGGATGAGAATAGGGATCTGCTTGCAGATTCCCACAATATTTTGAATATATACGATGAGATGGGATGGATTGGATTGATCTGGCTCAGGATAGGGACCAGTGGAGGGCTCTTGTGAACACAGTAATGAACCTTCAGGTTCCACAAAAGCCTGGGAAATTTTTGAGTAGCTGCAGAATTTGTGGCTCCTCTAGAAGGGCTCAGCTCCATGAGTAAGTATACCTCAAGGTAAATGATATAATGATAAAAACTCCGTCTCAAGTGCAAACAATATATTTTGTGTCTTTGATCTTGTTCCCCTACACTACATGTTTCGGCCTCAGACGGCCATCATCAGGTGTATAACACTCACGTCGCTGTCACANCTCAAGGGTCTATTTTGGGCCACTCCTCTTTTTGTTATATATAAATGATTTACCCCATCATATATCAAATGCAGAAGTGTTTTTTTCTGCAGATGATACCAATATACTGGTAATAGATAAGAATAAAATTACTCTCCAAGAAAAAATAAAGAGTGATGAACCAGCCAGAATTTTGGTTTTCAAAAAATAACCCGCTAATAAATACTGATAAGACCAATTCAATTCAATTCAATTTATTTCAAATTTAAAGCAATGCTATTCCAATTAAATGGAGCCATTTTGGAGCCAGTTATTACTTTCAAAAATATAATAATGAATTATACATCACAGTTCAGATTTTTAGGTACCAATACAACACATAATCTAAAATGTAGGTGACACATTTAGTCCTTGTGTCTATAAGTGAACAAGGCATGTTACATCATGTACAATGATCTACAGTGATGAAATCAATCAATCAATCAATCATTATTAAATCTTTGAAAGATGTAGTGAGTTTATATATACTTAGAAATATACACTTTGCCAAATTTCAGTCCTTAGTAAGTTATGGTTTGATTTTTTGGGGTGGAGAAAGTAAAAATAGCAAAGTACTGAAAATTAAAAAAAGGATACTTCACTTAATGAAAGGTGTAAATAGCAGAACATCATGCAGACCTATTTTTAAAGAATTAAAGATTTTTACTGTTACCTCTTTGTATATTTTTGAGGTGTTGTGCTATTTTCAGAAATATAATTTATACTCTACATGAAGTTCAGATTTATATGACTATAATACTGTCTCTCAAGGTCCTTGGCATACTCAAACCCCCTCACCACGATAAGGTGGAGACACCAACGGGGGGGGGGGGGGGGAGCGTCATCAGCAGCGACTTGAAGCACAGAGCAAAAGAT